GGCCTGAAATTAATTTCAGGTTCTCATATTGTTGTAAATTCCAATCTGCGGCTATCAAATCATCCTAGACTTCAAACTGAGCTCACCACTGAATCATTTGGAAAAATGCAATTACAGGTTTGCGGTGTACGGAGGCAGCCTATCGTGCATATGGCGAATCTTGATGATGAGTTGAGTTTGAGTTTTGACGGAGAATCGCTGGATGAATGGACTGGTTCGATGTCTTCATCGAGAGGAAATGAACTGCACACATCAGACCTGGCCAAATCAAAGCTGCAACCGTCCAGCTCTGGCCTGATTGGCTCGTGTTCCTCTCTAATGGGACCGTGCCCGACACCGCCAGGCTTTGAAACACCTCGCAGTGATACAGGTGGTCATCATTGATTGCCTGATGTTATCACACCTAACTCACAATCAGTCATTTGTTAATCATAGGCACATTAACTTGTGAATTGGGAATGCAAAACAACTAAAATTAGCAAATTTCCCTCGAATTTTGAGCCATTCAAGTAGTTTGAATGAATCAGAATCATACGATTAGATTTTTCGAAGGAGAGATATGATAAGAGTGTAGTGTGCTTGAATTGAACATAAAACTGATTGAATAAAGTTGGCTGAATCCTTTTGTGATAATAATTTTTATCAATCAAAGAATCGGGCTCGTATTCCGTTGCATAGATCAGTTCATTGCGCACTAGATCAAGCGTTAGCTGTTCACTCGAAACTATTACTTAATTAGGGAGAAAGCAGATCTTCGATAATTTATTTCTGCCTCATGCCTAATAAACATGATGAAATATTTTGCCGAATCAAGCCACGAGGTGAACATCCTTGCAGCTAGAAGATCCCAGCAACTGATAAGTTGTAGTAGTCCGGAAATTGGACGAAAATATGTATAGTTGGTCAAAAAATTAGTTTCCAGTCTCCTCTGATATGATCAAATTTGCAGATAGGTACGACTGGACGGCATTTGACGAAGAACGTTGTTTCGGTATATCCGTATCGCTGTACGAACGAAATCCTATAACGGGTCAAAATGCGGGTAATCCTATAGCGGACGTTTTCGGGGTGGTGGCTCGAGACAACAATGTGATTATGGCGCTGGCCGACGGGGTCAACTGGGGCGAAGGGTCACGGCTGGCGGCCCGTTGTGCAGTCCGAGGAGCCATTGATCATTTGAATTATCACATATTCGCTGACCAGTGTAAAACCACCACTGTAAGTTTCTTAAGATGCTATAATGAAGAGTCAACCAATGCCTTAGCACCGTTAAAGTAAACGTTATCGTCGAGTTAATTTCTTACTGAAATGGAACGGAGTCTCAGAATATTTCCTATTTGATTCCCGAGGATCGTAAGGTCTCCGAAGATATTTCCAACCTCACCGAATACTCCTCTATTTCTTTCGCAATATGTGCGACTCAATAATATCTGCTCAACTGTCCCATATGTGTGCTTAACACCAAGACAGCCAACGTGATGAGGTCGAGCCGTTAGGATAATTGCTCATAAATGACTAGTCATCTACATTTCACGGTCCCAGGATTGAAACTTCAAAGCCTCTCAATATCTCAGGATCTAGCACTGTCTCAGGACCTTGGAAATTTTAAAATAGCTCAGGATTCATCAAATGAAAATGTATCTTTCAGGAAGTCTTCCATACTTTGTTAGGTGCATTTCATTCAGCCCATGCGCTGATCCTTCAAGAAGGTGGACTTTTAACGACATTATGCGTAGCAGTCGCAGTTCAGTTGAAGCATTCAGATACATGGGTTTTGTGTTGCTGTAATGTTGGTGATTCGCTGTGTTTTGTATATAATCCAGTGGCTGGCGTACGAGAGGTCAGTGATTTGAGCTGGATTTGTCCTTGACTTC